CTGGTCTTACAACATGCATCCGATGTGCTAAACCAAGACAGTCCCTGCCAGAAATGTTCTAAGAACATTTCGTTGGAACCACACACTGTTTGATGGGCCTATCGGCGAGCCAGGACGCTCCGCCACTTCATGAGCATCAGGCCGTCCGCTCACTCCCCATCTCCGCTCTTCCCTCCGTTTCCGTCTCGGTTCCGGCCCGCCCTGGCGATCCCCAGCGCAGGCGCGGCCGCGGCGCATCCACGCCCGACTCTGGGACGGATGCGGAGGTGGGAAGGGAAGGCGGGGCCGGCAGCAGCAGCAAGTGGCCGCGGGACGCGAAGAGAAAGAGAGAGAGAGAGAGAGAGAGAGAAAGAGAGAAAGAAAGAGAGAGAGAGAGAGGATTGGTTCATCTCTCCTCCTCTGCCCATACCCCCCCCCCCATCCCCGGAACTCCCTTCCTGCATCCCTTCCTGGAGCGCCCGCGAGAGGATATGACTAGCAACTCTCTCCTCCTCTTCCCTCTTCCCCCCCACCTCCCAGAAACTCCATTCCTGCCCTCTTCCTCGAGCGCCCGCGCTCCAGCCGCGCGCGATACTACAACTTCTCCTGATCTTCTCGTCGTTGCCTCCTCTTCCCTTCCTCTTCTCCGCTTCCTCCTCCTCCTCCGCCTCCTCCGCCTACTCCACCTCCTCGTCCTCTTTCAGTACGAGGTGCGACTAGTCATGCGCACACAGCCAGAGCTAAAGACGAGAATGGCACAGTGACGCTGCAAACTGCTATGGAAACACGTCCGCCAAGTCGCTCGTTTAGCGTACATGGAAATTTGATCGCCCACTCCAGCTCTAGCGCTTCAACCAAAAGTACGGATTCCGTTCTTCCAGAACGGATGCCAGCACGATGCAACAATCACTGTCCAGGATCGCCACGACACCCGCGGGGTCCCAGCCTCCAGGTAAAGCCCCACATACGCACAGCCTCAGAGTGGACTCGTTACGCAGTGTGTGTGCAATGGCAGCCACATCGCGCCGCTCCCAATTGCCCCTGGCGTCAAGTGCAGCATTGGCTGCTAAGTCTGCCACGTTGTCGAGCTTCCTCTCACCCCACTCAACGAAAGGCGCTGTGTTCAAACGTGGTAGGGCTCCCGAGCGCAATGCTGCTGCAATCGTCGCGCTGCAATTCCTGCTCATTCCTCCTCTCCCTCCTCTCCACCTCTCGTCTCCTCTCCCTCCGCCTCATCCCTTGCCCCCTTCCACTTCCTCCTCCTCCACCTCCTCCTCCTGCACATGCGAGCACCACCGACCTAGCCAGGGCGGGGAGAGGGAGGGAAGAAGCCCATACCCCAGACCCTGTGTTTTCACGGCGAGGGACCCAGGAGCTCTAGACCCCCTCCCATGGACCAACTTCCACTGGGACTCACCGGGGCGGGCTGGAATCAAAGGGAAAACGAAAAACGAAAAGAGGAGCGGGGATGGGAAAGGAGAGGGAGAGCAGGAGGCGGAGGACCCAGACATCCGACGTCATGATGTTTCGCAACGCGGCTTCCCGGACGTCTGGACCGCAGAGTTCTGGACGTCTGGACACCTGCCAGGAGACTGGCTCTTCATCCTCTAAATCTTTTTTGGGACCGCCCTGCCAGGCAATCGGCCATGGCCCCTGGAGGCCGAAAAATACAAAATATATATTAAAAAAACCCTCCGTCGTGATTTTGGACGACGCGAGGAAGTCTAGGAGGCGAAGCGACACCAGGCGGTGGCAGCCGCGGCAAGGCCCGGCCTTGATGGGAAAGGCGTGGTCAAACGAGAACATGAACGGACCTGGGGCGCGGCTTGCGCGCTCCGCCTCCCCAGCCTCCTCCTGAGATGTGGCAAGGCTGAGTGCGGAGGTGGGGTGATTTATCTGTTAGGGGTGGGTCTGTGGGTCGAGGGCCAGCGACGTGGACGTCGACGCGGATGGGGTATGGACGGTGATGGGGATGACCCCTTTGATTTTCGACTTGCTAACATTTGGTGCTTAAGCCGCCTTCCTCTCGCAACTGGTCCGCGGAGGAATCAAAATGACACCATGCCATTCAAAGGATGTCCTGCAAATGTCAAAGAAACGCCACGCCTGCTCGCTCTCTCTGTCCGCTCTCTCGTTATTTTTATTGTTTTATCTCTCTCTCTGTCTCTTTCTCTTTATTTCTCTCTCTCTCTCTATATATATATATATGTACGTACACAGAAATATATAAATATGCATGCATACGTACATATATACATATATATATAGATGTGTATCCGGTTCTTCCTCGTTATATGTTCCATCTCGCTACATTCATGTATGCCTCTCTCTCTCTTTCTGTGTTGTTTGTCGTTCTCTCTCTCTCTCTCTTTATCTCGCTATCTCTCTCTCTCTCACTCTATCTCTCTCTCTATCTCTCTCTCTCCCCCACTCTCTCTCTCTCTCTCTCTCTTTAGGAGGCAACTACTGGGAGGTCTTCGTCGGAAGGATTAAGAAGGATCAAGCCCCATTGGGGGGCTGCTACGCCAAATTCGGCCGCGGATTTGGAGGGATTAAACCAAGTTCAGCCGGATTAAGCGGAATTAAACGGGATTAAGCCGGATTAAGCGGGATTGAGCCGGATTAAGCCGGATTTCGGACCAGGGCAAAATCAGAACTTGACCTCCCAGGAGTTACATCCGACCTCTCTACGCATTAAACCGAATTCAGGTAGCGTCGACCCAACAACATATGCTTCTAGTCCAATAGTTTGTGCAAAGTGGTGCAATATGTGCGGTGCGATCGATGTGGTGCGGTCTACGTGGTACAAAATACGTGGTGCCAACAATGATGTACAACATGCGTGGTGCAATCAATATTTTTGGACAACAACAGTTTAGTGATGCATCTGTGGTGCGACATGTATGGTAAGATCTATATTGCGCGACCTCTGTGGTGCAACCTATGCTGTGCATTCTGTGCGGTGCAAAGTGGTGCAATATATGTGGTGCAATCGATGTTGTGCAACATATAGTATACAATGTGTGTTGTAGTATATGTGGTGTAGATCTTAGAAATGCAATTTATATGGTGCCATCTACGTTGTGCAGTGTATGTTGTGCACTCTATGTGGTGCAACATGTGTCGAGACGTATACGCGGCGAAATCAAGGTAGTTCAGTAGATGTAATGCGATGTGTACGTGTGTGATCAATGCAATGCAATCTCTGCGGAGCAATCTCTGTGGCGCAATCTCTGTGGTGCAATCTCTGTGGCGCAATCTCTGTGGTACAATGCAAAACACAACAAGGCAAAACAAAGCAACGCAAAGCCAGACAAAGCAATGCAAGACAACGCAAGACAATGGAACACAACGCAAAATAACGCAAAACAGTCTATGGCGGCGACTAACGGTGACGGCGGCGACGGGGCGGCGACGGCGGACACATAGCCACCAGACCGCCCGTCAGGCCCATACGACGGGCGGCGACGAGGCGGCGACGGGGCGGCCCAAGATTGCCCCAGGGCGCTCTTTGACCGAGACTTCGAAGCGGATCTGGCCGCGTCGACGAAAGCGCAACCAGAGGCAGAAGGGCAGCAAGTTCACCCCCCGCCGACGATGACACAAACGATGACGACGACGGCAACGGCGACTGGCGACGACGACGGCAACGTCCCGCGGCTTCCGGCGGCGCGATCTCCGGACGCCTCTGGATGCGCCCAGAAGCCTCCCAAGTCCCTTGGGGGCCCGAAAAACAACCGGACACTTAAAACGCTGGCCGGAAACTGCATCGAAAAGACCATCGATCCCGTCGACCGACGACTGGACTCAGCAACGGAGAAAGGAGCAGGAGGAGCGGTAGGCAGAAGAGGAGGAACGGGGGGAGGGGGAGGAGGTCGAACCTGCCATATTAACGGCATCCTTGTCCTCTCTATCCCGTCTCATGTCTTCGCGGTTTCTCGGGCCATGTTGCTCGTGGGCGAGTCTTGTGTCCTCCCGACTGACCGCCAGCAGGCCCCTGAAGCCCCCAAGAAGCTCCAAGAGGCCCCCAGGAAGCCCAAGTCAGGCCACAAGATGTCCCAAACCCGCCCCCGAGAGACCCGAAAAACGCCGCAGGCCCTGCTGGCCCAGGCCAGGAAAGATTGGACCTCGAGCCGTTTTCCCCCGCTGGCCCAGGGAAGTGCCCCAGGAGGCCAGAACCAGCGAAAGACTTAATTACGTATTCGACCATCGAGCACCTGTTGCCCACCGGCCCTGGGCGGTCTGTGGCGGGCTTCAGGCGATCTTCGGCGGTCGTCGGATGGTCAACGGCGATCTTCGGCGGTTTCTGGCGGTGGCCGGCGGTTTCTGGCGAACTTCGGCGCTGAAGCTGGACAGTTGCCTTCAACAAGGGGTCCATGATCGAACACCTAGCCATACGACCCCTTTTCCCTCAACACGCCCTTTCTCCATGGCAGCGCCCGTGCACCAGCCCAGCGCCCAGGAGATGGGTCTGGCTTGGGCCAATCTGGCTGCCGTCTTCCTAAAGGACGATATCTGAGGAGAGGGGCAAGGCAGAGAACGACCCTGCGATCCTTTGCCGTGAAATATCACGGTCGGACCTCGTGACCCCACCAGCCTGCTGCGTCCCCCCAGCCTGGCCGATCCGTGAGCGTCCCAGGGCCCCGAGGTACGCGTGCGAGGGCGAAGACGAACGTCGTGAGTGATTCTGTTCACGTCGCCCAGATCTGAGGGCTGGGATCTCGAGCTCGTGGGTTTGACGTGCTGTCTCGTGCTTGTGGTTTGGGATGGGTGGCGAGCTGGCCGTGTGGTTTGGATGCCTGTCTTGGCAGAGATGGCGAAGTGGATTCGAACTCGTGGGAACGAGGTAAGAGGACGAAGGGGAGGAGGTCGAGGACGAACATGAGGAAGACCCTGTGATCCAATGTCCCGAGCGGATTCCAACATCGTATGCAGCAATAAACACGACCAGAGCCCTAGATCCCATCGTCTAACGAAATTTACCGAGACGGATCGACCTGCACGTGCTACCGACCCGGAACCGGCTACACATTTTGATGGGACTCCCTGCGGATGGTCGGCGTCTTGCACGCCAGCGTAGTGAGCCCGCCCTACAACTAACTGGTGCCATGGAGCGCACCGCGGCTGCCCCTCATGCCGCGGGAGAAGCTCTCGAGCAGCGCGGCCCGAGCCTACTTCCTCGCCGAGCTCCAAACGCACAGGAGGCAGCCATATCACAACCACCATGCATGGCAAAGGCCGTCCTGTACACGCCATCATGGCCGAGGCCAGGAGGGTCTATGCACCACCCTCTGGCCCAGAATGGCCCTGGTCAGGCATGGTGGTGGCCAATACCCAGACATCCGGCAATGCAATTTTCCCCCATCCGCGGCCACAGGATTCCCTACCCCTTCCCCATGGGAAATCGGTGACCCTGCCCCTGGGGGACATTTCCATCCCACCAGACCCCCGTTATATGGCTGTGGGGGCTGGAAACGGCCCCCTGATGCCAAAATCCCCGCGGAGGCCTGGGCAGGTGCTCTCCTGCGGACCAAGTGCGCAGACTGCGGCAGCTCGCAGTCAGTGCAGAAATGCCAGGGCGTGAGCTCTCCTCGCACCACGCCCGCGCCCCGCCCTGCGCGACAGGGGGCGGAGGACAAGGAGGAGGATCGAGGAGGAGTCCGAAAGAGGAGGAGGATCGAGTATCGAGGAGGATCGAGGAGGATATATGGCGAAGGCGAAATACTTCCTCCAGGACCAGATTCCTTTCTGGAGAACCATCAGAAAGACGGGTGCGAGAAAGAGGCCCCCTGGCGCGCCAGCAGGGGCGCACCCGGCGAATCGCGAGAGGCAAGCCCTGGCATACCAGCCTCCCTGGCTACCCACAACCCCCCCAGGCAGTGCCAAGGGGAATCACCACACTAGGGGGTCGCACCCTGCTCGAGGAGCATGGCCTCTCAAGTCGCCGCCAGCATCCGCATCACGTCCCCATGTCCAAAATCGTCCCAACCACCTCCTCGACCCTCTATCCCCGAACCTCGATCCTCAGGCCGTCATTGCAGCCCCCCTTGTCGTGACCTCCTTTGGCACTGCCTGATCACCCCCCCCCTGTCCAGATCCCTCCGTGGCATCGCCGGGGGGCTGGCGGCAAGTTAATTTGTCGGTGCCGAAGGCCGCCTCTGGCACCACTCTGCGCGCGGCGGACCTCCGACTGAGCGCCGCCGCAGCGCCACCGTGCAGGTGCAAGCAATGCGAGAGAAAGAGAGAGAGAGAGAGAGAAATATATATAATTCCGCGCACAGGCCAGAGGGCTTGCCTGTGGCGCCCCTCGTGCAGTGAATGCATGCAGTTCTGCGCAGTTGCCACCAGGCGTGCCTGTGAAGTCCCACAGGTGTCACAGTGCGCAGACCAGTTCAAAGGCATCGGTGCCGTGATCCTGCCTGATGGAGACGAGGCCTGGGAGTAACGGGGCTTTTCCAGGACTCGGCGTCCATCCTGAGCAACGTTTGTGAAGGGGCCCTGGGACACACAAATAGATACACACAAATAACAAGATTCCCTATATTTTCAAATATTTTCTATGTTTTTATCTTCCCCCCCCCACTTCCCATATTTTCCTATATTTTCCTGGGGATCGACGATTAATTGTGTCTGTGCTTTTGTTCCCCCTCCTGAGGTTGTTACTGCCCCAGGGCCACGGGGTGGCCCCCAGAGACCGAAACAGTGATCAGAACTTCCACGATCCCTCCCCTCCTCCAGAACCCCTCTCCTTCATGGCTCACGGCGATGGTCGGCTTGGTTCAAATTTCCGCCGACGCCCAATGCCAGGTCCTCCCCGTCCTCCGCTCCGCTCTGAGTGACCCCCCTCTGGCCGCAAACCCCGAGCGCGCCTGGGCCCCGACAGCCCTGGGCGGGGACGGGGACGGCCCAGCTTCTCACGACCCCTCTGCGGACTCGTCCGAGTCGTCGGTGCCGGCGTCCCAGAAGCTGGTGCGGTGCGTGAGCCCGCGATCGATCTCTCCCTTGGGGTCGTCGGGCCCCCAGTAGAACGCGTCCGAGTGCAGAATGTCGGAGCAAGGGCCCCAGTAGTGCTCGTCGGAGTGCGCCACGTCCGAGTTGACATTCCAGGCGTCCGCCTGGTGGACAATCTTCGGGCGGACGCAGTACGCCTTCACGCTGCCGGCGGCGCACGCGGCGGCCATCCAGTTGTCCACTGGCTCGTTAACGGGCAGCTGGCCCAGGAGGATGCGTGCCCCCGCCGGCCAGATGATGTACGCCACCGTCGTCCAGACATACTCCGCCTCCACCAGGTCGGGAGAGACCTCCCGCCGCCAGTCCGCGGCCTGGGAGTACCCCAGGTAGAGCAGGTGCGCGTCCCCGGGCAGCGCCCGCAGCGCACGCGACAGCGTGGCGCTGAAGTCGACCGTCGGGGCCGCGTCGTCTTCCAGCACGAGCAGGGGCCTGTCGCCGCAGCCGGCGAGCTCCAGGCAGCGCCTCCAGGCCCGGATGTGCGACATGGCGCAGCCCCTCTCGCCGGGGCTCAGCGCCAGCGTCCGGACCTTGATGGGCCTGTTTTCCACCACCACCACCGTAAAAGTTGGAGGGGGGAAGGAGATGGAGGACGAGAAGGAGGAGGACGAAGAGGAGGAGGAGGAGGAGGAGGAGGAGGAGGAGGAGAAGGAGGTGGAGGAGAAGGAGGACCCCCTCCCACTCCAGCTTATGGTGGTGGTGGAAAACAGGCCCATCAGACCTGGTACGTGTCGAGGTCGTCCCACCCCTTCCTCGTCGGAGAGCCCCGCAAAAACGGCACAGGCACAGACTGGCCGAGGTCCGTGCAAATTTTTCTCGCGTCGGCGCGGGCGCCCTATCTCCCCACACCTCGGGCGTTGCCAGACGCGTCCCGGGCCCGGGGGGGGGCCCCAAGGACTTCCCAAGGAGACGAGGCCCAGAGGGCCCCCAGGGACTCAAAATGGAGCGAAGAGCTGGGGGCATCTCGGGCCAGGGACGCCGTGACACTCTTGGAAGCCCCCGATCACACTTCTTCCCTGGCGCGCGTCGCGCGCCAGGGGGCGGATGGGTGCGCCAGAGGCGCCGCGCCCAACGATGACGCGAGGGGGGCCGGGCGCCGACCCCAGGGGTCCGCGCGGGCCTCCAGAGGCCTGTGCCCGTGCTGCCTTTCGCTTCGCCTCCCTGCTCCTCACGGCGCGCATCTTCTGGTACTCCACGTTGCGGGCCGTGTTCCAGGACTCCGCCACCTCGTCCGTGCCGATGGCGGCCTGCTTGCCGTCCGTCGCGGAGAACCGGGTCCGCGGCAGGTGCGGGCACGACGCGTCCAGCCTCCTCGCGCAGCCGTCCATCCGATCCGGTCGGCGGTCGAGGCTGATGACGATGGTCTGGAGGTCTCTGAGGGCGAGCTGCGCCTCTGCCGCCCCCGCCGCCTGCGAGACTCGCGAGGTCTTGGCGAGGGGCCGCGCCGACGCCGCGGCCGCGGCGCTCCTGCGAGCCTCGCGCAGGCGCTTCTGCCCGCTCTTCGGCGCCTGCTTCGAGCTGGCCGGCGGTGACGCGATGGCTCTCCTGGCTCCGGCGCCCTTCGGGTCGCGGTTCTGCTTTCCGGCCGCGCGCGTCATGGACGAGCCGCACGACGCCTCCGCACGCGATGTCACCTCGAGCTTCGGCCAAAGTGGCCTGAGCCAAAACAACTCTGCAGAGGAGAGAGGAGAGAGCAGCAAAGGACGAGGCCGAGGACGAGGATCAACAGGACCAGGAGACGGAGAAGGATGACGAAGAGCAAGCTTAGGTCGGGCATGTCCCCCTGCAGGCGGATTTTGGAGGGAAAATGGAAAATAGTCGAACAAAAAGCTGTCAAACAACAGTAAAACAAATCGTCTCCCACCTATTGTTTGCCTCTTTTGGTGTATTCCTCCTGTAGAGGGACACGCCCGACTTCAGAGCAAGCAGAAGGGAGGGAGGAACAGGGGGCGAGGGAGACTTTGGAGTGCCGTCTCGGTGCGGTGACAGACTGCGCGGTGACCTTGACATTCCCCGAGACCTCACCGCACGGTCCGTCAACGAACGGTCTTGGGACCTCGGATGCCCCAGTCGCCCGAGACGTCCTCGGAGAACGACCCGAGTCCCAAGAGACCGTTTTTTCTTGAATCGGCGATGACCCAGGTTATCCCAGGGGGGGGGTAGGGGGCCGGCCGATAACCTAACCCACGCGCTGTGGGCAGCCCTGCATATGCCCGCGCCCCCCCTCCCGCGGACCTGCACAACCGGCAAAGTTAGGTTATCCTGGTGGGGGGAGGGGGGGCAAGACCGATAACCCGGGTTATCGCCCGACCCTAAAAAAAAAGTCTCCAAAACCGTGCGGCGATCCCGAACCTCCACCGGCTCACCGCACGGTGTGGTCGCCACCCCGCTTGGGAGCGAGGGAGACGGGGCGAGCGGGCGAGAGCACACCGGCGGCGTGCGTGCTCCGCCCGGTGGCCCGGTGGGGCGTGGCGCGTGCGAGAGAGCTGAACCGGCCAGGGGGAGGAGCAGGGCTGGACCTGAACGCTGTGTTTGCGTTTTTTTTTTATGTATCCTCGGGTGATCGTCAGAGCAGGAACTCCTGCACGTGGCAGACGCGCGACGGAAGGGCCCGAGGGGGACCGATAGAGAACGAGGGACGGACCCCAGGAACCACAAGCAACACGAGCGGAGGGACCCGACCGAACACAAGGGACCGAAACCACGAGAGCCACGATCATCCACAAACCTCCTTGCAATGAAAAAACACGCAGGCCGAAAGCAGATCAATTATCTGCTCAAGCTGGAACTCGCCAGCTGTAGAATCGGGGGCAGTGCTGTCTGCGTTGGATCGTTCGTTTTGCTCTACCTGTGTTCCTGCACCTCTCCGCCAACACGAAAAACAAGACACAGCCGAAGCCCAGCAAGACAGCGTTTAGGTCCAGCCCTGCGCTGCGTCAGCTAGGAAGAAGAGGACGAGCAGCAGGAAGAATAGGACGAGGAGGGAGGAGGGCAGGCTGAAGGCTGCAAGCGCCGCGTCGAAGGACTGCTCGGCACAACCGACCGCCAACGTGTTCGAGCTCTGCTATGGCGTTCCGAGTCCGCCACCAGAACCACCAATGGGGCCTGGCACGGCTCACGATCACGTCGTCGGCGAAACAACAAAAGAAACATTCATTCAAGACGTCCAACATTGTGATTGTTTCGCAGCGTGGCTCCCCGAGGTCTGGGCCTCTTCTCCTTTTCCTCCTCTCCTCTTCCTCCGTGGCCTTCTTGGCTTGATGCGCTCACCCCCATCCATTGCCCCGAACGATGGGATTTCACGAAGTGCAAGGTCTTCCTTTTTCCAGGTATCCGATGTCTTTTTTCCAAAGCAATGAATGCGATTGGGGGGTCCCATCTGCATCGTGAGAACCCGTTTCTGGGGTCTGGTGATGGGCCTGCTTCCCACCACCACCTCCATGAGTTGGAGGGGGAGGGGGTCCTCCCCGTCCTCCTTCTCCTCCTCCTCCTCCTCCTCCTCCTCCTCCACCTCCTTCCCCCCTCCAACGTATGGTGGTGGTGGTGGTGGAAAACAGGCCCATCAAGGTCCGGACGCTGGCGCTGAGCCCCGGCGAGAGGGGCTGCGCCATGTCGCACATCCGGGCCTGGAGGCGCTGCCTGGAGCGCGTGCCGAGGCGTGCTTCGTGCCCGGGCGCGTGCCGTGCCCAGAAGTTCTAGCCAGTGCCGCCCCCGCGCGCCGTGGCGGTGTGGTGCGCCTGCCGGTGCCCGAGTGCCTCAAACTGCAGTTCAAGAGATCCGCCCGCGTGCCGTGCTCGCACCATGCGCGTGGCGCGTGCCCACGCTCCAGACTGCGAGGAAGGTGCCGCCTTCGTGCCGTGCCGTGCCATGCCCAAACTCTAGACTGCGGAAGCTGTGCCGTGGCGCGCCGGTGTCCGTACCGCGCCGTGCACGTGCAAGGGCCGCGTGCCGTGCGAGTGCCGTCCCCGTGCCCTGTGGGCGTGCGGTTCCGTGTATCCGCGTGCCGCTCCATGTCGTGCCCGTGTCGCGCAGGTCGGTCTTAACTCACCATGCGTCTTCCCATGCAGCTTTGCTGGTTAGGGCTTGTATGCCGTTGCCTGTTAAATGCGGGGCCCCCCACACAGCCCGACCTTTGCCGCAAGGCCACCTTCTCATCCTCAATCGTTTTTGCTGATGGTCCCTGGGCCCGGTGAGGGCCCAAGAAGACGTTGGAGCTCTGGGCTCCCACTTTCCCATCCGGGTCGGCTGCACTTGCTCAGGGCAGGCTCGGGCAGCCTCTTCCGACGCCGCCAACAGGGTGGAGAGGCCTTCCGACGGGCCGATTAAGATTTGCTGCTGGAGACGGTGGCACGAGCGTATCGTAACCGGCGAAACTTGCGCTGATAAGATCAGGGCGACGAAATTGTTACGCGCTGGGCGTTTTCACCCCGTTTCGGGCACGGGAAACTTCGCGGCTCGTTCCGGTTTGGCTCCGGGCACCCCGCTAAAAATTTGGGTATAGACTCTGGTATAATATGTTGGCTGGCAACTTGGAACCGGAAAGGAGGAGGACGAGGAGGAGGAGGAGACCGGAAGAAAAAGGGACGAGGGAGGGGGTGGAGGAAAGAAGGGAAGGACAACACTGTGTAACACATTGCGGCATCTCCAACGATGACCTGAATAATCACGCTTCGGCACATTCAACTTCGACTTGAACGTCTCTATGAGGTCGGAAATGCCGATAGACTTGCGTCAAACATCGCACGAGGGAGGAATGATGGCGCACATGAAAGCGGAAGGGCGACAATTGATGGTCAAAGAGGGTGCAGTGCGCAGCATGATTCCGACATGCCCAAGCGACAAAGAAATTGAGTCTCATGGTAGCATTCCGCAGTGTGGCGACAACCAAAGTGTGGCTCAAAATCACCCCTCTCAAAATGCTCGCACATTGCCGCGAATTCGCCCACCTTGGCGAATTAGGACAGATAACGAAAGTAAACGGCATACATCGCACAATCAGCTCGGGTAGCAACATTACAGATTGGACATGAGACACATGCAGTGGTGACAGCATCACTGACCAGCACATGAAAGCGACTTTGGTCGTTTGGTTCCGATGTTGGAATACAGCGGGTGAATTTTTTGAATAGCTGGAGAGCGAGCATCGAAGACTGAACATTGCGTTTGGAGATTGAAGGTATGGGGCGAGAAGGGGTATCGTGCATTTACGTGCGTTTCGCCAGGCAGTGTTTGCGGTTAGGCGTTCTCACTTCGGCTACTGAGGCATTGGGTGTGTATGCCGAGAATTCGCCATGTTGCCGCCCGTTGCCGCTTCGCTGCCGCCTCGTGCGTTGCGTGGGTATTCCGAGGACTCGTCATGTCGCCGCCCGTTGCCGCCCGTTGGCGCCTGTGTGGGTATGCAGAGGATTCGCCAGGCTGCCGCCCGTTGCAACCCGTTGCCACCCCAATGCGCCGCATGTATCACACAACCATAGCTTACCTCATATAGCTTGCACCCCATAGTTGTCACCTCCCATCCACGCAGCCTGGCTTACGCGACATAGGTTACACCACATAGCTTGTACCGACTAGTGATCATCTCAACAGCTCACATAACGTTCGCCACATGGCTTTCGCTGCAGAATTTCTCTCCACGATGCCAAAACGCACGGTCCGAGGCCCGCGCTTGCTCATATGTGTCCCCCTCGTTCGCCCTTTCTCTCTCTCTCTCTCCCTCTAGATGTGTACAGGACGAAGGGAGATGGAGCGATAGTGAGTGGTTCACATCTCTTTAAATCTCTATATAAAGAGGGGGAGGGAGCGAGAGAGGGAGAGAGAGAGAGAAACAACATGTGTATATGTATAGAGAGAGAGAGAGAACGAGAGATATACAACAACAACAAATAATTGACTGAGAGAGCCTCAGAACCATCTTGGGGGCTTGCGGAAACAGCCGCGAAGGGCAACGTGTCGCCAAACTTGGTCTTTGAGAAAGTCATCTGCAACTTCTTCTTGATCGCCTGCGGGATACGCTGTTTCCTCTGCCAGCGTCACCGCCCATTCTTCCCTGCCATGGCCTGAAAGCCAGGGCGCCACCTCCTACTCTGGGGGCACCTGAGCCTGGCCGACGTTATGGTGGAATTCGCTTGCCTCCCACGGCTATGACATCAAAGCGGAAAGCAAAACAACTGAACGCTCACACAAATCGTCTTGCCCATGCTACCAAACTCAGGCGCAAATATCCGCGCGATGCGGCAGGCGAAATCAACGGCCCAACCTCTTGCATGATTGCAGCTGCGTGGCGCCACCTCGCAGGTGCAGAGAGGACAAATCGGATCGACCGTCGAGGGGCATCGCGTGACCTCCCCACGGAGACGCCACCGATTTCGACCCATTGCTGGAAAGGTAAGGCGATCCGAGGGCTGACTGTGTCTTGACGTCTTCCCTCTGGCACGAGCTGAAGGCCATGTGACATTCGTCGTCCGGCCCAGCATTGCACCGCAGGTAGCAATGCGATCTCGCAGGGAACCTCAGCAGAACAACCAGCATGCAACGCGTGCCCACGTCGAGTCGCTCTTTCTCGAGGAGTTGGGACAGCCGCGCAAGTGGGCAACCTCAACGCTACAGGCTTAGACGAGTCGCCTATCCTGACTGCCTAGGGTCCTCGCCCACAAACCGGGTGCATGGTCGGTGATTGCGCTCCTCCGCGCGCGTGGCAGC